AACCTGCACTTCGTGAGCGAGGAGGCCAGCCGCGAGGTGGCCAAGGCCCTCCTGCGGGAGCTGCTGCCGCCCGCCGCCGGCTTCAAGTGCAAGGTGAGCGGGGCCGCAGCTGGGGAATCCAGGGGGCGTGTGTCTCGGTCAGTGCGCGCATCCGGCGCGCCCTGCCAGGCTCCCAGGGGTCGGGAGGGGAATGTCTTCGTTGCGCTGGCCAGTGCCAACGGCATTAGGAACCTAGCCCCTCAACACCTCTTCCCTTTGACCCCAAGTGTGCGTTCACAGCACGCTGGAGGCATCGTCCTGGGTCGTGTCCGGAAGCCTCGGTGTTAGCTGACCACTCTGACCCGGTGTCCCCCTTTAACTGCGGCCCTCCTTGAGAATTGGCACGCCCCCTCCTTGCTAGCGTTGCACGAGTCAGCAGCTAGTGCCTTGAGTCTCTTTTTATTCTCCTCTGTCTTGGACTTTTGAGGATAGAGCAGGTCATTTGGGCAGCAATATTCTTCCTGTGCAGACTGCTGGACCTGGTCTTAGGCCGCTTGAATTGTTGAAGTTACAGTGACATTTCTCATAGCTTTAAGGTATTTCAGTCACAACTGGTCAAAACCAGCCAGTGTGAACCATCTCATCTCCTCTCTGTGCCCCTCTTCTCTGCTACCCTCAAGGGTCATGAACCCATTTAGAGAAGCGGCAAGTTCCAGGGAGGAAAAGAGAGCTCCAAGAGGTACAGATCAGATCTGGGGAGAGCATTGCTGAGCAGAGCTAGCTACCTTGTCCCAGGTGCAAGCAACTTGCTTTCCCATCATCTCACTTCACCACCTGACTCTGCTTGTCAGAGATTGGGTTCCTAGCCTAGTGTTAATGGCCTTAGTCAAATTAGTTGCCTCCTTCTGACCTAACAGTTGCACAGAGGGGATCCAAGGTGATAGAAATAGCAGGTGATCCTAGAGGATGGAGACTGATGGTGGGGGGAGGGGTGGTGAAGCAAGAGTGGTGTTCCATGTGTTTGTGCCCAGTGGGTGACTAAGGGGAGCTGATGCCAGTATCCTGCAGGGTTCAGGGGTCTGTTGTTCATTGTCTACAGAATCAAGCTCTAATTTCTTGGTAGGGCTGTCTGCCTGGCTCTCCTCTCCAACCTACCTTCTTGTCCTTCTTCTGTGTGCACCTTAGATCCTACCTGTACCGAATGTGCCTTTACCCAAGATACACTCTCTGCCTAGAATGTCCTTCTTTCCCTCCTGGGCCCTTAGCCTCTCTCTGCTTATTTTTCACTTTCCCCCAGGAATGTCCCTAGACTTGGGGACAGTCTGTGCCCAGCCTTTTACATTCCAGCTTCCCCCCATAACATCAAGTCTGTCCCCTGCCCAGAATAAATGAGCCCATCAGGACCAGCCACCATAGTCAGGGAGGGGCACCTGGGCCTGGACTCCATAGTGTAGGAGGCCAGGAATCCAGGCCCTGGAGCTTGTGGCTGGAGGGGCCCTTGGGACCCACTGTCTGACCTGGGGTTTTCCAGCCCAGTTGCCCTGATTGGAATCTCTGGAAGTGGGGCCTGGCAACCTGTTCCAGCTGGTCCTTAGTACTCTGAGAAATTCTCTGCTCGTCCAAGGGAGAAAACCAAGGGCCCCTGATGATTGGGCCAGTCTGGACAAGAGCTGGGATTTGTCTGGCTCTACAGACGCCACCTTGAAGAACAGCATTGTCATCTCTTCACTTTCTGAGTCAGAGGTCACAACTCGAGCCTACCCTACCCCATTGCCAGGGCTCCAGCCATGGGGCCTGGTTGTACACCCGGGACTTTTCTGTTGTTCCACTGTCAGGATACCCTTTCTCTCTCCATCACCAAGTCTTGCCCATCTTCAGATACCATTCACTTGCTGGAGCCATTCAAGGACCCATCGTCTGAAAGGCACATCTTCCTCTTCCTCATGTACCTCCCTGGTGCTGTGATTATATGACATCTTATCTCCCATCCCTATGCCTGGCACACAGTCGGCACCAGAAATACTGGTCCAGGACAGGTCCAGTTTCAGGGCCAAGTTCCCTTCTTGGTTGAAGCCTGTGTTTCATACTTTGACTCCCTTCCGACCTTAGCCATCATCCGGGCCTGAGCAGCTGCACATGACTGGAGGGAATTGGCACCATGCCTGTGGAGGCCTCAGGAATGAGGGTCTAGGGGCTTCTAGCCAGGTAGCTGTGTTCAGATAAGGGTTTATCAGTTCTAGCTAAAGTTGCTCCTGTTCCTTTTGAATTATTTTTTGTGAATCTGTTTTCTGTTTGTGACAGAGGTGCTCTTTTAAAATTTAAATGTGTAGTCCTGAAAGATCTGCCTCATTGTGTTTGTCATTTAATTCTTCCTCAGGTCTGGAATATTCCTGAAAGGAGTGCTTCTTCCCTCCCACTTCACACGTGCCTTTCCCTCTGCCTGGAGGATCTCCCAGCCCCGCTGCCCACCCTTAACTGGTGCTCTGCTCTCAGGTCTCAGCCTAAATGTTATCTCCTTGGCAAACCTTCCCTAAGCCCTTCTTATCCTTAGTACTTTTCCTTAGTAACATTTCTCACAGTTGTCGTTATGTAATTATTGAATGACTTATTTGTCTACCTCGCTAGACTGTAAATTCTTTAAGAGCTTGGACCCTGACTTCTCTTAAATGTTATATCCCCAGCACTGAACATCATGTCTTACAAATGAGAGTGTGTCTTCTACTGAGAATTATTTTTTCAGTGTTAATTAGGAAGAAGGAAACTAGAAATTCTCACCCTGGTTGCATTAGAGCTGGAAGGGATCCTGAAGAACATTTAGCATCACAAGTGAGGAAACTTGCCATAGGTCACTTGGAGAGTTGTTGACCTGGCAGGGGCCACTCCCAAGTTCTAGGCCAATGTTTTTCCCTTTGTACCATGTTTCCCCTTTAAAGAGCACTTCTCTCTTGTAAGATAAAGTAAGAGGACATTTCACTCCCAGGGAGAGTTGCTTTAAGTTGTGTTAGAACACTTTGGGAAGAAGCAGCTTCTTGCCCACCTAGCTGTGGAGACAGCCGGGGAGCTCTTCCTCCCTTGGTAGGAGCTGGGACTCCGCCACGTCTGCACGATGCAGGGCAGGGCTGCAATGAGCCAGCCCACGACCTGTGCTCACAATCAGAGGTCTCTTCTCAGGTCATTTTCAAGTGACACAGAAATGGTTGAGCTGAAATGGTTGCAGAAATCTATTTTAGAACATTACTAGTCACTTTAGTTCACATTTTGGTTAATTAAATATTAGCTAAAATGCCATTCACTTAACCAGAAAAATCTTGTTTTGATTATTTTTGAAAGTCTTTCCAAATCTCAGGGTTTGTTATCTCCTAACAGTATGGAAATAAATTATTTGTTCACTTATTTAGTAAACATCCAAACCTGTTATGTTGGAGGTAACAGATTGGGAGCTGCTTCTAGCTTATGGACCAGAGAATCTCCTGGGGAGATTAAAAATACCAAATTATTAAAAATATAGAACCTGGACCCTGTCCCAGCCTGTGGATCAGAATCTCCTGATAGGGCTTGGGAATCTGAATTTGTATGGGGCTGTGGCGGCAGGTGTCAGGGTCCCTGCTGTAGGGGACACAGGAGGGCCTGGTGCTCTCCTAACCCTTTTCAGACCCAGCTCAGGCATCTTCTTCTCTGTGCAGCCCTCCCTCTGGGCACAATGCCTGGCACATAGTGGGCCTTCAGGAAACATTTTGACTTTCATCCTGGTTCTCTGCTGGCCTTCATCTTGATAAATGATGCTTTTATCAAATCACTTCCATTCACAACCTCCTGGCTCACTGTCATCCCAGGTCATTCCAACATCTTAGCCTCGCAGCAGCTGGCTTCAGCTTCCTTGCCCAGCCTTTCCCCTCTCAGCTGCAGGAGAAGCTGTCCCTTCTCGTGGAGCTTTGCTTGCTTTGCTTCTGAGCCATCTGTTGTCTCATTCCGTCCGTCAAGTGGAATTCCACACTTCTAAGCCTCGGGTCCAGACTTGTCTCTTCCCCAGGCTTCCTTGCTGTATTAAGTCAGATAGAATATGCTGTGGGAACTCCAAATAGTGGGAGCTTAAGCCAGCTGGAGCTCTATTTCTTGTCTAAATGGAGCCCAGAGGTAGGCATTCCTGGGCTGTCATCAGGGTCCTAGGCCCTTCCAGCTCTGTTTCACCACCCTTACGGAGGGGCCCTTGTTCTCACGGGCCGGGAGGCTGCTGGAGCTTTAGCCAACACATCTGTATCGCAGCAGCAGAATGGGGGAAGAACCAAAGCAGTGTACCCAGTTAAAAATAGGGGTTCAGTTAACAAGGAGAGGAGAGCAGGTTGTGGGGTAGGCAACCCCTCATCTCTGCCCACCCCCCAGGGGCCCACCATGCATGCTGGAGCCCCACGAATGACCAAGCACCTGCTGTGTGGGGGACCCTGAATTCACACCTGCAGGGACACAGACATGGGGCAGGCACAGCCCCTGCTACCAGGAACCCATGTCACTTAGCATCACACCCATGTACATCCTGTCTTGTTGCTAAACCCAGTGAGTTGGGCATGAGATGGTCCTGAGGGAGACAGCACTGAGTTTAAACCGCAGTTGGCCAGTTTCTGACTGGGTGACAGTGAGTAATGCCTTTCACTTCTCAGAGCCTCTGAGGCCTCTAAAATGAGGATTAAACACTCACCTCACACCGCGCGGCGAGGGTTCAGTCTGCCCGGCTGTAATGCATGTAGCCTGGTGCTGCTGTCCACTGTCGTGTGTCCAGTCTCGGCACAGCTCTGAGTCAGCACTCGTGGGGCCCTGCGGCTGTCTCCTCCTTCCTTTGTGGGGTGGCCAGCCCCCTGCAGAGGCCAGCACTGTGGGGACACCCTCAGGGTACAGCAGTGTTGCTTCTTGTGCTGCCACTGTGCTGTCACTCAGCTCACCACCCAGAAAGGCCTTCCCTGAACCCATTTCCTGAAGCAGCCGCCACCCCGCCCTTGTCTTCCCTGTCACCTTGTTCATAGCATGTATCTGTTAGTTTGTTCATTGAGGCAGCAGAAGTGATTAAGGGCTCAGCCTGTGCCAGACACTGTCCTAGGTGCCCGCAAGCAGTGGGAACAGAA